AAAAAAAAAAAAAAAAAAAAAAAAAAAAAAAAAAAAAAAAAAAATGCACTGATGAAGAATCGATGGCATATTGGTCAGATTCAATACGCAGGCAAAAGGCGAAGTCCGCTCGACCAACGACGAGTATACCCCTCTGAGATATAAGATTATATTTAAGGTGTTAGAGCGAGGGGAGCTTGGGTTAAATGTAAAGGTAGGGGAGCTCTCCCTCCACTGCCAGCCTGGTCGGAGAGAGAGTAAAACCGTTGTGCGCATGCGCTAGAACTTTCGCATGCGCATTAGGGATATTTTCATTTTTAATCGCCTTTAATACTCAAAAGAGTCATGAAAGTCAATCGACTTGAATCGGAATGTTGGATCCAAGCAAGATAATCGGTTTTAATAGGCAAAAGTGATACTAAAGTCAATCGACTTGAATGGCCACTGTGACATTTAAACTTATATAGTGAATTCTTAATAACAAATTCAGGATTTTATACAATTAATACGTATCCAAAATAGTAGTACAATTATTCGAAGACAAAAAAAAATTTTTCTTCAATATTTTTTTTCAGCATTCCCTCGAACCGGGTTTAATTGACACATTCCAATCGACTTAAATCGGATTTATATAATTAATCGATTAATCGACTAATCGATAATACCACAGGGGTCTGATCGTCTGATCGGGGCATTCGATATCTTGCTTAAGTAAGCAGTTTTTTTCGATAATCCCTAAACTACGCATGCGCATTATCGTTATTTTTGGGTTATTTTGTAGGGATTATCGAAAAAACTGCTTATTTAAGCGAGGTATCAAATGCCCCCATCAGACCCCAGTTAACACATAACTCTAACTCTGTTATCTGTGCCAAAACAAAGGCTGCAGTCACATGGAGCGCAATATAATGTTCAGCATAGAATTGTCCGCGGTTGTTTTGAGTCTATTGCGCTGCGGAATAGACTAATTGCGCGGCGTAATAGTCTCAACACAGTCGCTTATACGGACAATTCTATTCTGTATGCTCTATAGCGTTCCATGTGACTGCAGCTTAAGACTGCATGTACACGTACACGTAACTCTCGTCTGTCAAGTAGTGTATTATTTGAAGAGAACTTGTGTGCGTATAAAAAAAATCACCACGTTTTCGAATTACATGATTTCGTAAGCACATTATATAGGAGGTTCTGCCTTGGAAAGTGCAAGTCATTCTAAATGGTTAAAGGCTCTTTTGTTTTTTCTCTTTCTATAGTTCCTCGTTCGATTTACTCTTGACAATCGTGGTAAAGAGTAAACAGTCAATTATTTGTTAACAGCTGTTAAGCCTGCGAATGTTTCAAACTTATGTGTAGTTATTAGATTCAAGTATAGTTTTGTTTTTCTTCAATAATGTTTTTCAAAGGCTCAAATATAAACTATTTATCCACTCGTTACCTTCTGACATACAACTTTCTGCAAGTCATTGGGTAAGTCATCTGTAGTCTGCATTTTTTCAATTTATAAATTCTAAATCGTAAGTCAAATACTTTTGATTATGAAAAAGTCAGTTTATTGTGGATTAGTAATAATGAGTGATATTTTTTTTTTAATGCAATTAATTTAATCTAAGCTTTTTCAATAACAAAAAAAAGTAACAAATGANTTATAAACAAGTCAAAAATATTATTATAAACATACCAAAAAATATTTCCTGTTTAACATTACATTATTTGAATTATTAATCGAATTTAAAGGGATCTAAAGATTATTTTTTAACAAAAAATGTGATGCTTTTCGAAAAAGTATTTAATAAATAAAATGACTATTGTAAAAAATGACGCTTGAATGAATGATAAAAGTAAAAAAAAAAAAAAAAATGCACTGATGAAGAATCGATGGCATATTGGTCAGATTCAATACGCAGGCAAAAGGCGAAGTCCGCTCGACCAACGACGAGTATACCCCTCTGAGATATAAGATTATATTTAAGGTGTTAGAGCGAGGGGAGCTTGGGTTAAATGTAAAGGTAGGGGAGCTCTCCCTCCACTGCCAGCCTGGTCGGAGAGAGAGTAAAACCGTTGTGCGCATGCGCTAGAACTCTTGGTTGTTAGAAACACTGGTTGGTAGTATGCATGCGCTGCAAATGGAAGGCTTTTACTAGACTATAGAGCTTTCTCATGCACATGTAAATGTGATCTCTTTGTTTGGTGCTTGTTTACATACTATCATGGTACATCTTGCCGTATTAATGATCTTTTTTTTACGATGTCAATTGCAACGTACTTAAGACATTTTTTCATGAATGAACTGTTAGTAGACATGTAAGTAGATTCATTAACTTAGTGTGTGACACTGGTGTGATTTTAAAACTATTTTAAAACTTTCCTTATTGCCTGTGATCTAGGCAGAATATGTGCTTCCAGTAATATGCAGCTTTCGTTAGCAGAAAAAATTAATAGCCACGCTTTGGTAATGTTGGTGAGTATGTACAAAAAAGTTGATCCATGCTGCTCGGTTACATCCATTTTACGTCAAGTAAAGTTAACGATGGACTTTTTTCATAAAAAAGTAAAATAAAGAAGAACAAAATTTTTCTAGTGTAAGCGTAGTAAAAAAAATAAACTAAAATAAAATTATCAAATATTATAAATAAATCTTTTTTGAATTTTGTTCAGTAAAAAAAAAGTTTGAATATGCTCGGAGTGTGTCAGTAAAAAACATGAAAAAATTATTTACTTAAAACAGGAAAGTTACATAGTTCTAATTTAACTATTGTAAGCGTAGA